AAGAGTCAGTGTCATACTACCACAAATGTCAACGCCAGATACCACAAATGTCAGTGCCAAACACCACAAGTATCAGTGCCAGACACCACAAGTGTCAGTGTCAGACACCACAAATGTCAGTGCTGAACACCACTATACATCAGAGCGAGACACCACAAATGTTAGTGCCAGACACCACAAATGTCAGTGCCAGACACCACAAATGTAGTGGCGGATACCACAAATGTCAGTGCCAAATACCACAAATGTCAGTGCCAGACACCAAAAATGTCAGTACCAGACACCACAAATGTCAGTGCCAGACACCACAAATGTCAGTGCCAGACACCACAAATGTCAGTGCCAGACACCACAAATGTCAGTGCCAGACACCACAAATGTCAACACCAGACACCACAAATGTCAGTGCTGGACACCACTACAAATGTCAGTGCCAGATACCACAAATGTCACCACAAATATCAATGCTGGACACCACTATACATCAGAGCCAGACAACACAAATGTCAGCGCCAGACACCACAAATGTCAACACCAGACACCACAAATGTCAGTGCTGAACACCACTATATATCAGTGCCATACACCACAAATGTCAGTGCCAGACACCACAAATGTCAGTGCCAGATACCACAAGAGTCAATGCCATACACCGCAAATGTCAATGCCAGATACCACAAATGTCAGTGCCAGACACCACAAATGTCAGTGCCAGATACCACAAATGTCATTGCTAGACACCACAAATGTCAGTGCCAGATACCACAAGAGTCAGTGCCATACACCACAAATGTCAATGCCAGACACCACAAGCGCCAGTGCCAGACACCACAAGTGTCAGTGTCAGACACCACAAATGTCAGTGCCAGACACCACAAATGTCAGTGCCAGATACCACAAGAGTCAATGCCATACACCACAAATGTCAACCCCAGACACCACAAATGTCAGTGTCAGACACCACAAGTGTCAGTGCTGGACACCACAAATGTCAGTGCCAGACACCACAAATGTCAGTGCCAGACACCACAAATGTCAGTGCCAGACACCACAAATGTCAACCACAGACACCACAAATGTCAATGCCAGATACCACAAATGTCAACACTGGATACCACAATGTCAGTACCAGACACCACAAATGTCAGTGCCAGACACCACAAATGTCGGTGCCAGACACCACAAATGTCAGTGCCAGACACCACAAATGTCAGTACCAGACACCACCAAACATCAGTGCCACAACCCAATGAGCTTCACACATGGACACTCCCCTTCAGGTACATAGAGTATTTTTTCTTATAAGAGCAATAATTACAGCCGCCCTCCTTTAATGCCATGGTATTCGTTTGAATTCCAGATCTTTTCTTTTTTATGTATTTTATATTTTTCATTTTGAACCAAATACATTTGTAGATAGAAATCCCTTTTTCTAGTATTGACTTATATTCTTGAAAATAACAAATGTTGGCATTCATAGTGTTAAACAGCTTTTGTAATCCAATGCCAACTGTCTGCATACAAAATGTGGGTGGGGAAGGATTTATATATAGAGAGAGAGTCATTGATAAATCTCTCCACGCTTGGTTTGAAAGTATTAAGCAGAAGACAGTGATCAAAATGTTGACCAGTAGAATAACATAACACACACTCAGCAATTTTTTATTAGATGAGAACGTGAATAAAACAACTAAATGTAACGAATAAGCACGGGCAGAAAACACTCCTCTTATATAACCTCTTAAAAACCTGCCATACTTTCTGATAGGTTGGTGTGGTGCTCTCTTTCTCACGTCCGCAATATTGTGTGAAAGAGGACCCATTCAATAACAAATGTGTTTGTTTACATAGACAATTCACATAAAAACAGAGAAACAAGAAACATCTCAATATCAAAGAATTTTTTGACATATTACTAACCTATGGAAGGTTGGTATCCTCTGTGTAGCTGGTATTGGAGCAATGCACAGAATTCGTGCTGAACACACCGTCTTGCAGGCATCTACTTCAGGTTTAGGTGCTAGTTTGAGAAGACACACCTGCCCCACGTACCCATCACTATTGCACACCCAAACCTCTCGCTGTTCCTCAAGCCCTGCTGGAGGTGCTGGGCTTGCACAGGAAAACTGCATCCCACTACGTGTCTTCGATATGGGAATTGGCTTCAGGAATTTTGGTGGAAATGTATCTTTGGAATCAGCTGAAATTAATTTAATAAAACAATTAAGTGATGATAGTTAACAGTTATATTTACTATAAAAAATTAACCCTTTCATTGCCACCAACATTTTGGTACAATATTTTGCACATTGTTATAAATTATATGGGTTTAATTTTGTCAATATTGACACAAGTTGACTGGTGCTTATGCAATACTGAAAGATAATGTAAGGCAATATAAACAGTACCATATTTGTAAAAATAAAAATAGTAATAAAAGTAAAAATGTAAGCATGGATGAGTTTGTGATTGCTAATGTTGGAGCAAAATACATGACCCAAAAGCAATTTAAAAAATTCCAACAAATTATAAACCAATGGTAGACAATGTTTTGAAAGGTTAGGTTGCATAATTAATAATGATCAACATGTTTAAAAATGCAAAATGCACACAATACAAGGTTTGCTGTTGAGATAAACGATAAACATTTTTTTGACAGGAATTGAGTTCAAAGCGATGATAACAACACACGCTAAAAATGCAAAGGCTCATGGGTAGACGCTTGTTCGTAAACAATGACACGCTATGGCCATCTGACGTATGCGCAGGTAACAACTCCCCCACTTTAAATCATAAAATCAATTGACAACATTTTATGATTTAATAATCTACTCACCTAGTTTCTGTTTGGCTTTATTGAAGTCCATTTCCCATGTAATTCTCATATTGAGATCCGTGAAGACCAAAATATGGCTGTCAAGACCATCACTAGAAATATAAATAATATGTCGTTACAGGCTATGATAGGTACTGTGCAGAATTACTGATATTTGAAGGGGGCAGGGTGGTTACCAACTATTTTTAACAAATATTCTTACAGCTTGTAATGGTTTGAAAGTTACTATGGGAACAATATTCAGTGATGGAGACAGTGATGACACTACAGGCAAAGGAGACATATATAATTTACATATGTTTTTGTAATATTGTAATTATATACCCTATATATAAAATATGTTTTTGAAATGCAGTCCCTCACCCCCTTGGCTATTTTCGCCAATTTTTTGTCGCCGGAGCGATTCACGTCCCAAATGTTGGTTCTCTGGGCGTCTCTAATAACTACCCTACATG